AAACAAACAAAAAACCCACAGTGGGCACTGTAAGAAGTAGGAAACTAGAAATGAATAAAACCATAAATGTGCAAATACCATAGTCTAACTCCATCCACCAGCTTCCTGTCAGTACTAGACTAGGGTCACCCAAAAGCCTTCCCAGTAAGAGTTTCTTTTCCTTCTGTGTTGACTGTTCATGCCCCAATTAGAGCAGCTTTGATTAGTGGATTCCTATGCATTTTTTTTCAATGAACATAAGGCTCCTTTCATGCATTTCACTCTGGTAACTGCTTTGTAACACAGAAGAATGTGGTTTTCTTGGCCACCTCGTGTGATCCTTTAGTGGTACTTTCCAGATTCCTATGGGTCTGGGAATAAGTGGCTGAAAAGAGCTGGCCTAAGACACCAGCTCTCTTCTCATTTAAATCCGGTTCTTCTCAGTTAGGCCCTTCAAGCATCACCTTTCTGATAAGACTGACACCAAACACCTCTGTGTACTTCATGAGAGCAGGTGTTTTAAGATCTCCAACCTTCCCGATATTTCCTGCAATCATAAAAAGTTCTAGGGTACTTGTGTAGTCCTCAGGACAATCCATGTGATAACAGAGTGCTTGGATGGAGACTGGTTTACTTTTTTTTTTTTTTTCCAGAAAAGCTTTCAGCTTTATTTTCTTCAGCTATCTTTAAAAACAAAGACGAATACAAACACTAGTGCTATTTTTGTGCTATAGAAGAAAACTACTTCCTTATACATCTATAAGGAAGTACCACAGCACTTTCTCACAAGTACTCTGTGCACCTATCAGAGTGCTTGGATGGAGACTGGTTTACTTTTTTTTTTTTTTTCCAGAAAAGCTTTCAGCTTTATTTTCTTCAGCTATCTTTAAAAACAAAGACGAATACAAACACTAGTGCTATTTTTGTGCTATAGAAGAAAACTACTTCCTTATACATCTATAAGGAAGTACCACAGCACTTTCTCACAAGCACTCTGTGCACCTATCAAGCAGGTCCAAAATTTCTGCACTAAAGAGCAAGAGGCAAACTCTAAAAAGGAACAAAGTGTTCTGGTACCTTCCAGGGAAAGCTGAAAGAAAGACTACATGCAGGGAATTAATGAAAAGAAAGACTACAAAACTGGCTAGGAAAGGGGATTTAATTCCTCACCCTGGAATGGCCAAAACTGTAATGGCTTAACTGGACCAGGCCAAAAAAATGGAAAAGTTCCTACTCTTCCACCCGTTTTTTTTTTTTTTTTTTTTCCCCTCCCATTCCACCCCAAATAATGATCAAATCCCATACTGGAGCAGAAAACAGCATAAATCTCACAGAATCAGGCATACCTTTATGCACATGCTCAGGCAACCATACCTGTTAAAAAATTTATTGTGATCCAGGCTGAAATGCCTATTAAGGAAAAGAATCAAAAGACACACAGTTGTATCATGGCATTTCATTTCATCTGACAACAATATCAGATTAGATAAGCCATTATAAAAGGTCTTCCTGTTTAGGATATGTTTTGCTGGAGGCTTTTTTAAAGTTTCTCCAACAGTTTACATGGACCATGTAAATAATATAACCCACAAATCAGAGCTTATCAAACACAGGAAAGGACATCAGAGACTGCCTGCCACAAGGTCCCTTCTCTCCCTTTCACAAATCGGCTATTACTAATTCAAATTCTCAGAAGAGTGTCTGTCTGATGGACTTTGACTCATTGCAAGGCACTTCATTTTCCTTTTGAATATTCAGAATTCTTTTTCCTTTTTTCTTTCCAGCATTTTTGTGAATGTTCTGCTTTGTTAGACTGTTTCTGTCCTTTTCTTGTTTTACACATCTTTCCCCCATAAAGTGAATTAATGGGCCTTATATTAACAAATCTAAATATTTATCCATTTTGTTAAAACTAGAGGCCTGCTGGGGAACAAGCTCCAGTTCAATCTTTGGCTGAACCAAAGCTGTCGCATAAACTTAATGAACTATTAATGAACTTTAAACAAAACCTAAAGATCTACTTTCTTCTATTGAACAACAAAAAATAAACCCATAAACAGTTCCATAACAGCAATGAAGCATTTTGAAGCTTGGTTTCTAGGCAAATTAAAAACATATTTCAACATTTGGTTAGAATTTTGTTAGAATTTTGACATGTTTCTTCAAATTCTTTTAAGGCAAGACTGATTCTAGGTTCTATCCTCAGCATTTTTTTTTTTGACTGGCAATTTAATTCAATACATTTTCTTCTCTAGAGAACTTTTCTTTTCATGATCAGTTCACATTCATACTCATCAGACTAGTTAGAATTAACATTATGACCAATCACTTCCAGAGAAGTCAGGGGCGCATTGTCAAGCACATGGCATGAAAAATCAAGTGTTAAAGACAATCTCAATATGTAGATATTCAGAAAACTTTCCAGAAGTGCTGATTGTCTAGCAGCTTTCCAGTCATCCCACAGGAATTGTCAGACACTCATTGCTTTAGAAAACAGGCTAGAGTTGCAGACTTCCCATTGAAAAACACAGCACAAAATCTCTTTGTCGGGCACTGCCCAAAGAAATATAAAAAAGCGATCACATGTGGGTTCCCATAATAGCCAGTGAGGGTTCGTCACAGCGAGGCAGGAATGCAGGATTTCAGAAAAGGCCTCCAGAAGTTTACCTACCTTCATCTGTTCCATTCATTATGGACACACAGTTGTCCCTCACAAAGAAGGGGGAAGCCTGAAAAATCTCCTTCACCTGTAATGCACGTAAAAGATACACTCAAAGATTTTTTTTTAAGACATTGGTTTCAACATTTCCCTGATCAACACTGAAAACCTTTTCATTAGGCTACAGAGTCAGATCATCAGATTTCTTTCCACAGTCATTGAGAGTTCAGTGAAATACAGAGAAAAAGGACTACAATTGGTGCACATCTAATGAACTTCTCCCACAGCTTTAGGGCCTAGGACATCATATTTTATTTCTTTTTATATTATTTTAAAGATAAATTCTATTTTACATGCCTATAAATACAACATACATTAATTTTAATTGATTATGAAACAGCACAATCTCACAGCAACAAGCTGCTAACATGGTAAATCAAGTAGCAGTTTTTCCAAGAATAGCTAGGTCCTGGTCAAGGCCACCAACACTCACAGTAGGAACAAGCCTGTGATAAGTCACAAGTGTCTTATCACACTTGTGTTTCACAGGGAGGCTAATGTTTACTGCCATCCCAGGCTTACCAGGAGCTGTCGTCATTCTTCTGTGCTTGCACTACAATTTCTCACCCCATCTGAGATGAAGTAGCTCTGCATTTCTTGCAGAGTTAAACCGTAGCAATGACTCATATACCTTAACATAAAGGAGTTTCTGCATCTTACACGTGGCGGGGGGCAATTTTTGCTGTACAACTTATGGAAAGCAAAATGAAACAAAGCAGTACCTTATTCAGCAACTTCTGAGCCTTCTCTCCCGGCAACAACCGTAAGCCAGCAGTTGCTTTCAGGACCAGAGGAGTGAACTTCCACAGCTCCATGGGAACTTCATTCTTTGCTACTTCCAGGAGCTCTTTTATGCTCTGGCCACTCTGTGAGTGCAGAAAGAACAAAAAGTGCATCTTAGAAATTCTGAGGGGTTCTCTTTATAAGGGCGAAAGGGAGTTCAAAGGTAGGATTCACGGCAAATGTTGAACGTGGACAACTGAACATCACAAGGAGTCCAGAGAAGGTCAAGTCAATATCTCACACAGCATAAGAACTGAGGATACAACTGCAATTATTCAGAAACAAGTCAAAAACAAACAGGAAGTGCTACTTTTCTGAATGGTGTCATGCAACTCTGCCATTAAATGTTTTGGCTACCAAAGGCTCAAAACACTATGAGACAAATCCACAGAAAAGAAGGTCTTCAGAGCCAATAAAACACTATGAATCGGGAGCAAGCTTTGGCTCAGGAAGCACCAGATCGCTGCCAGCCGGAAAGGAAGGGAGGCAGGAGAGAAGTCACTTAACACTTGACCTGTTTTATAGACTGTTTCCTTGAGAATCTACTTTAGTTGCTCTTGGAGAAGGCTCTGCTCCAATCCAGCAAGACTCTTCTTTTTATATTCTTAAGTGCACAGTAAATCTTACAACAGAGATGGGAAAAAACATCTACTGTGCTTAATTTACAGCTTCACCTAGCAATCACCCAGCAGAACCAGACATACATGTATAGATAGGCTTCTTGACCTTCTGAGCACTGAGCAACTTTCTCTGTGGGACGGTATCATCTGGAGTCACCTTCTTGGAGCTTCCTGCACTGAGGCAGTTCAGTGCGGCAAGCACAGCAAGCAGTGATCTGCAGAGCATATCAAGAACAGGAGGATGGGCACACGTTTTGACAGAAGAAGATATGAAATTACCTTTTCAACATCATCAGCATATGCAGACAGACCTGGCTTCAGTGCTTTAAACGTCTCATGGTTTAACCTGGGAGTCTCTGTTCAAAATAAGCAACAGAACAAATCATTTTGCATTCACAAAAAAAAAAAAACCCACAACTTCGTTATGCTAATGGCAGTCATATGAAGTGTTTGTCTAAAGAATTAGCAAAGGCCACCCTGCCTTTCAAAGACAGGCTTTGTTGTGGAATCAGACCAATGCAAAAGCATTTTTTAAAATCACAATTATTTTCCAGGTACTGGTGCCCAATAAGCATTTCTTTTTTTTTTTTTTTAGTGCTCATCACACAAATCACCAGATGGTTGTGAATTCTCCTTTGCCTTTTACCTACCATGTGCACCTTCCCAAACCACATGGGTAACATGAACCATACTTTCCAACAGGCTCCAACGTGGCTAAATTCAACTTCAGCAAAAGCCATGCAAGTTTTATCACTGCTTTCAATGGTAGCAAAAGGAGCGAGGGCTAAATATTTGGGAAGCCTGAAGGACAGATAGCTCTGCAGGAAGATTCTGAGAGCTTGACAACAGCTTTCTCCTATACCCAAGCAATCTCCAGAAAGTCTCTTGCAATATTCTGGAATTATAGGAATTGTCTTTAAAGAGAATCAGGCATGCAAGAACCCAAATCTGTGAGTAAATGAAAAGAAGAATGAATTAAATCCATGTGTGGGCTGTTGTTTAACACCTTTTGTTGCTAGGCCTTATGCTCAGGTTATCCTGCAAAACTCAAGATGGTTTCCACAGACCAACACCACCACACACCATACTACTAAACCCCAAAAATCATCCTCTGGATTTCCTATTTAATAGCATTCATATGGGTCATCTTTAAGTTTCACAGACAGGGATGGAAACAAACAAAGCTTGCAACTCCATCAGAAAACCAGAGCTTTTTTGTCCACTCCTATCTCGTATCTCAGCAATACTTTCTGTCCCAGTGCAAAACAGAACAATTTTAATTAAATGCCGAAATCACACTGAATCCAAGACTGCACAAAGTCAGACAACACAGGGAGAAGCAACTCCCCACCAGAAAGTGGAGACAAAAAACAGCATTGTGCTGAAAACCTTGGGAATACGACGTTTCAGACCTGCTCCTCTCTTCCACCAAATAATGTAATGGCAAACTGCTCCTCCTCAGGACACTGCTCTAGGGGCTGCTCTGAAGCTGCCATTTAGCTAGCTTTGTGGCATTACAGCCCTTCCTCCACTGTAGAATATCTTCATAATGGGATTTCATCTAGACCCATATACTTGAACCACAATATTTGTCCTAATGGCTCTCTAGGAAGAGTTGGAGAACAGTTGTGCAAGCAATTCCTAGGAAAGAAGTATCAATAATCTGCTCCATTCTTTACGGAAGAATCTTACCTTTTGGTTGCTGTGTAAATTTAAAAATATGTATGCGAGTTCCAGTGCTTCCTGCATCAAACATAATCCCATAAAAGACTGAGAGATCTGTTGTCACTGCCTGATGGGTCGATTTGTCTCTCCTGCTTTCAGCAATTTCTTCCGTTGCTCCTAAGACTGGCTTAGAGTCCAAGTGCCATTTTATGTATGCAACATAAATAGCTATGCATGCCAAAATCCCAAAAGCAAAGAACCGCTTTGATATCTTCATGGCTTCCATTTACCAGGCGTATTGTTCCTCCCCTTTATCAGATGATTCATTCCTTCTCTTTCACGCAGAACAGGTGGTTCCCACATGACACCTACAACCAGCAGAAAAGAAAGACATGTTTTTCTCCCTAAACCTGCAAAAGGCATTCTGAAAAGACGGATCTAAGAGCACACTGGCTGTTTGATGAAGGCTCAGCAGTAAACTTGAGCACTATGTAAACACTTACGTGCTAGTTGATTTATTACCTGTGCTGGAGATGTGATAAGAAGGCTTGGCACGACAGTGACAGAATGTGCGCAGCCCCTGCACCACAGCCAGGGAGCAAGGCTTACTCACAGGGAGTGACAGACCACAGCTTGCAAAGGAGGAGAGTTTCTGCCTGCAGCTCCTTCAGTATCTAGAATAAGATGGCCATCAGCCACCGTTTTCATTGCCCAAATCTATCTTGATTACTCCAGGGAAATTTGCAGTCAGGTGCTTAAATTTATTCCACTAGGACAAAGCAGACTATTGCATTCAAAACCCTGGGATGTGAATGCAATCCTATGGCTCCTTTCCAAACCTAGCAACAAAATCCCTTTCCCCCACGTTGCTTGTCCTACCACGGAGTTGTCTCCATGGCTGGGCATCGATGCCACTGCACATCATCTTCCTAAAAGCTCTGCAGGAACCTATCTATCCTCACCTAGCAACAAAATCCCTTTCCCCCACCTTGCTTGTCCTACCAAGGAGTTGTCTCCACGGCTGGGCACCACTGCACATCGTCTTCCTAACAGCTCTGGAGGAACATATCTATCCTATGACCTCAGGTGGCTCTGGGGAGTCAGAGAGGACGTGTTAGGTCCTCTCATGCCCCACCCCTGAGGTCAATACAACCCCAAGTACCTGGGGCTCCTGCCCATAGAGAAGGCCCTGTGAGCCCCACAACCCCAGGACACCATCCACAGGGTACCCCGCACCAGGATTGTTACCCATCATCCCCTGGGAGTGGTTGGCTCTCAGCATGAGGAGCTCCATGTGCTGCTTTTCTGCGGCCAAGTGCTGCACGGCCGCCTTGGCCTTGAAGCTGGTGAATTGCCCGAACTCCGGGAGGCGCCACACGGTCTCCATCTTCTGCAGATCCACGTGGAACATCTCGTCCCCATCGAAGCTGAACACGTACTGCCCGCCCTCCTGCTGCAGCGTCTCTGCCCGCTGGTATAGGTCAACCTGGAGCATCACGTTCCTCGCTGGGAAGGGATAGACACGAGGGGGTGCCCATGGGGCCTTGCGAGGTTCCCTGAGGCCAGGGTCAGTGATAGGCCCGGCTGAGGGGACACAGAGATGTGGCCCATCCCAGACTTGCTGTGGGACAGGGTGGAGATGACAGGGGTCGTCGTGTCCCCCACCTTGGGGGAGGACCTCAAAGCCACCACAACGGGATGCCCACGGTCATGCGCCATGGGGCCCTTGTGGGGCGTACGAGGGAAAGGGGGGGATCCATGTCCCAACCCTGCACTGGTGCCCCTATGCCATGCCCACACCGTGCCCCACATCCGCCCCCAACGCTCAGCCCCACGTCCACCTGCCCCCACTCACCCTTCACAGCCCCCGTGACCTGCAGGGCCAGCAGGGCTAGCAGGGCCAGCGGGACCCCCCGTCCTCCGGCCATGGCAGCAGACAGTGACAGCAGGACGGGGCCGGTGACGCCCTTGGGGACGCGGGGCTCCCGCCGCCGCCGCGCCGGCCGCTGCCCTGCGGGGCCGCCCTGCAAGGAAATCCCCTCCCCAAAACGCGGTCTCGTTCTCAGGGCAAATGCGGCTCTTCCGCGAGACAGGAGTTTTGTTATTATTATCATCTATTTATTTATTTATTTTGTTGCGTTTGCAGCCGAAGCGGGAGAGGATTGCGCAAGGGGAGTAGCGGGCTGGGCCGGCAGGGAGCAGCATTTGACCGGGATAGTGCAAACCAGTCCCATATAGCTGATATTTGAAGGCCCTTATATATATGAGTGTGCTCGCTGGCTCGGGGGACGTTTAGCTGCGCTGCAGATAGTGTGAGAGACTCTTTAAACAACAACAGCAACAACGAAAGAGTAGTACTCATTTTCTCCCACAAAACATAATATATGTGCACAGAGAACAGTCCTTAGTATGTTTTTGGACCAAAAAAAAAAAGAGGAAAGAAGCCCCCAAACTTGTCCTGTCTGGGGCTCCTGGATATTTTACTATGGATATTTACTAAAAACTATGATATTTTTAAACGTTTTGGATGATTTAAAAGGGTTTGCATTTGTTTTTGTGGTGTACACAGCCCTGTGCGCCTTCCTAGGATTAGCTCAGCTAATCTGAGGTAGTCTGAGGTTTGGGGCCCCCTTTCCTAATATAATGTCTCTGTATTGCATTAAGTGTCTGCAAGTTTACATTGAGGACTCAGCATGTTTTACATTATATATACACAAAATATGTATTTTTATAGATATAAATAAGTGTATACATATATAACATATGTCAGAATGTAATTTATTTAGAACTAGTTACTTGAGGAATGATCCTTGTTGCTCCAGTGTTGGGAGGACCAATGTGTTTCAGAGGAGTTTCTAGATGAGCAAAGTGTTTCTAGATGAGCATTAGTAAACAGAGCTCAAATGTAAATTGCACCAGTCTGAGAAACTGTATAAAGGAAAAGGTTGTGTCAGCAATTGAAGTCGTGACTATTGCAAACAGTAAGAAGATACTGTTGTAGCTGCCAGCATCAGACCAGGGTTTGGGTCCATGCACTGAACACGATGGGTGTGATGTGTTGTGCAAGCTAGGTAATGGCTTATAAACATGCCAAATTATGTGATGTGCTTTATTTCCTCACAGTATTGCAGGGGCACGCAGAAATTGAAGCAGCCTGATGTGCGGCCAATGATGGAGTTAACCAGATTGCCTGCAGTTACAATACCTGCATTAAAAAAATAAAAAGGTAATGTACCTCGGAGCATTTCTTTTGGCACATGGCTGCATCAGGTAAACATAGTTGCACGTGGATGACTTTGAGCATCTGTCTGAGAGCTCCTGTTGCTGTACTAGCAGCTGCTCTTGCTAGGTGGCTTAGTCCCCCAGCAGTGTCCTGGATCCCAGATGCTCTTCACAAACCTATTATCATTAATATTATTACACATCAAAGTTATGAAAGAGTAACGGGCTGAGATACTTCGTTTAAAGATTTTGGAGCCAATTTGGAAACACACGAAGTAGGTAGCATTCCAGGAACTCAGTTTTAATGGTCTGAAGTTACGTCTTTTTGTCTTCTAGAATTCTTTTTATTTTTTATTTTTCCAAACCAGAAATATTGCCTAGCAATAAATTTGAAACTGACATACTCCTGGATTGTACCAAGTGTGCGGATATTCTGTGCTCGCTCTGCAGGCTGCCCATAACAGGGCTCAACAGGTGTTAGTAGATGAGCTCCACCATGTTTTGTGACTGCCTCTTGGAGGGTCTCTCCTGGAGGATGCCTTTGATATTTTCATTTGCGGCTGTGGCACCACAGAATAAGGAAAGCCAAGGAGGACTTCTTGGTGCTGCCTGGGCTCTGCAAGCCAGCCACAGGAATGAGCTGTAACTTTGCAAATGCTGCCTCAACGTGGTGTTTTAGGTGCCCTACAGGCTGAAGTTCTCCAGAAATTTTTCATGACCTACATAATTGACCTATATTATGCGTCCATGTCTTAAATAGGTTACACCAACTAGAAATATGAATGGAAATGGCCTAGTTGTTAGTCAGTTATATTGAGGTGAGTGCCTGTTGTCTGGAATGACATGAGAGGACCATTTCTAAATTTTGTCCCCCACCTCTGTGTTTGACCTGTGCCTTGGACAGTGGCAGTAAAACTTGAATTGATTCTTCTTTCAAAGAAAAGATGTAAAATTGTTGTTATTGCTTTTCTAGGCAGGGAAATACCTGCACATATGTGTTAATATGCAAAACAGTTAACTCTTTGGGGAAAAAAAAAAAAACACGAGGGAAAAAATACAATAAGATTTTCAAGCCCTTTACTAGTAGGGCAGCAGGTAGGACCCTGGTGTGCATTGCACTTGAGTTGCTCTGAATTTAGGCATTCTGGGGAAACAGCACTACCATGTCCCACTAGTACTTAAGCATCATCTGATATGTGGGTTTATTTTTCCTTGCACTTCTGCCCCGTTGCAGCTAGTCAATCCAGAAGGAATCGCTTGAAGCCTCGGCTGATGGTGAAATTCGGTGAATGACTGAGATTTTTGAAAAAAAGCTTCTGAATTTAATGGAATTGCCCTTGCTCCCAGCAAGGATACATGTGGCATTGTGCACATGTGGATATACGCCCAACGAGGTGCAAAGGCTGGCAGAATGGCCTTGAGGAGCAGATTTGGAAACCAAATGTCTGCTGCTACAACCCTACCAGTTACACCAACCCTGCTGTGGGACAGTTCCCACTACCATGTCCTCACTCACGCAGGCAGGACACAGAGAAGTATCATCTAACTCAGGAAAACTCCCATTTTTATTTTCTATGTTCTCCATGTATTTTGCACTTCACAAATAGGTTGTTTTCCTGGTTTCATGAGAAGGTGGGGAAAAAAGCACATGGCTTTAGAAAACATTTTGTGCACAGTGGGCCCAGGCTGTGGCAGCACAGCCTTTGTTCAGCTTGAGGAATGAGAGGAGCTGAAGAGACCAAAGACTGAGACGCAGCCTTATGGGTTTGCTCTGTGAAGCTGTCGTGTCTGCCAGACTTTGGCTTTTTAACTTTTAACACTCTTAGCTCTGACCTTAATTAAGCTTTGAGGAAGGAGACTTAAATAGCTGTCCACAGCTGCTGTCATCGTATTTATCTTGGCTGCTGATCAGTGTTGCAGAGGAAAACATCAGAGAAACACTGACTTTAATTTAGAGTAGCTTAAAAAAAAAAGTGCAGCATTGTATCTAGAGAGTTACATTCAGTTTAAATGTCTGCGTTCAATTTGGGTGCTGTATTTTTCCCTTCTTAGATGAAGGCCTCCCCTGAGGGCCTGCCAGCCATCCTCGGGGTCCCTCCTTGTCCCCGTATTTCTTGGAGAGGAGGTCACTGC